GCAATCCCTTCTCCTCCATTCTCCTCTTGGGATCTTGGGCATGCACGCACATGTGCCTGGCGTGAGTTTTAAGCCACTGGGTCCGGGACACGGACCGTGGTCGACTACGTGGGAGTCCAGCGACATAGCCATTACGCTAACTGCTGGTTCCCTATTTATCTATTTTAATTTGATCAGAGAGAAAGCAAGTCACCAGGTTCGGGACTCAAACTGTGGATGGCCATGTGGGAGTCCAGTGCCCTTAACCACCACGCCACCTGCTGGCACCAGAAAGAAATAATTTCATCTGAATGTAACTGAGAGGCTGACTTAGAGAACACAAACGTGTCCCCTAGATTTGGGATTAGGGCCGTCATCGGTGAGAGGTTTTGGTGGAGTGGCAGGGCCAGCAAGGAGAGAGAGGCAGATGAGATGGATCGTGGTGATCGGCAGGTGAGCACAGGCAGACGGTACTCTGCTTAAGTTTCATGGCAGAGTACCGTGAGTACCTGGTCCCCGGACAGGGGGCAGAGGGAGGGGTGCGTGTCTGTGTTGAGAACAGGAGGTATGACGGAGCATTTGTATGTGTGTGACTGGGAATCATCCAACAGAGGAGCGAGCAAGCTAAGTCCCTGAGCAGCCAGAAGGAGCAGAAAGGCTGGACTTTCAAATGAATAGGGGCGGTTCAGACAGGGGCGCGGTGGTTAAGGCAGCTGGATCCCACATGGCCAACTGTGTGGTTTGAGTCTTGGACCCGGCAGCTTGAAAAACATGCTGGGTTCATGTTGTGTACATGCCCAAAATTTCGAGAGGAGAATGGAGAAGGGCTTGTGGTGTGGTCACCCCCCTTGGGGGTGTTTTCTCACTCTTTCTCTGACGTATACACCCTAGAGCAAATTGAAAAGAGAGGAAGGAAGGAAGGAGAGGGCTAGCTTTTGCCAAAAAAGAAAGAAAGTGAATTGAAAAGTCTAGAGGCAGGAAGGCAGAGGGTGCGCACGTCTCCCGGTCTACTTTCTCAGGGAAATGCCGGGTGAAGTCTACAGGTGAGCATAAAGGAGGAGGAGGTGTGGGGCCTGAGGACAGGGGTGTCGGAAGGGGTCTTTCTGAAAGTGAGAACACGTGCTTCATGGGGAAACACGTAGAAATAGCCACCGGTGGTTAAGCACTGTGCATGGGGAGCTGGACCCTACACGGCCAACGGCGGTTCGAATCCTGGCCCCTGAGGCTTAAAAAAAAAATACCGGATATGTGTGTGTGCATGTCTCAAATCCCAGTGGGGTGGAGGAATGGAGGAAAGGGGATGGTGGCGTGACCATGCCTCGTTGGGAGTGCTCTCTTTTCTCTCCCCAGTGAGCACATGTGCTCTCTGGCAATATAAAATTAAAAACCACCCAGTGGGACCAGCAGATGGCATAATGATTAAAACGCGGACTCCCACATGGTCGACTGCTGTTCGAGTCCCGCACCCAGTGGTTTAAAACTCAAGCTGGGCGCATGTGTGTGTGTGCATGCCCAAAATCCCAAGAGAAGACTAGAGGAGAAGGGATTGCAGCGTCATTCTCCTGGGGATGATTTCTCACTTTCTGTCTCTCTATCTCTCTGGTAAGCACACGCACTTTATAGCAAAAATCTTTTTAAAATAAACAACAACAACAACAAAAAACGAACCAGCAGTGTATGTGCTTATAAACGTGAAGTAAAGCCAGTGACTTTCTCCAGCTTCATTTCAGTCGCTCAGCGTAAGTACAGAGAAGGTAAATAAGTGGGTTTGGCCGGGGTGGGGTTTTGCAGGTGAGCCCAGCTGGCAGAGAGAGAAGGGCAAGGGAGTTCAGAGTGCCGTTGCCCCACCCCTGCTCCTCTGACCAGCTGATCCCTTTGGCTGGAACGCTCACCTTCCTGCTCCCCCATCCCACCATCTTACCTAGACTCCCCAAACTGCTCATCCTTCACATCTCAGCTTGCCTTGCTAAGTGATCCGCCTTTACTGCCTTCTTGGGGTGCATGCCCAAGCTCTTGTCCTCCACTGTAGACCCCTGCAGTACGTTTTGCCCTCCGACTAAAGTAGAATCTGTTTGAGAGCAAACTGTCTCGCCCAGCATTGAACATCTCCTAGCGTAGACCTCTGACTCCTGCGTAATATGCAGTGGTGGGCGAATGAGTGGAAGAATGCCCAGCCACTAAGAGCTGGCCTTGAGAGGAGAGATGGCTGGCAAACATCCTTCCTCAGCTACCCAGACTCCCCAGCCCCGGCTTCACTTCAGTACCCACCTCTGTCTGCGTCTTGGAGTACTCCTGGATTCTCTCCACGGCCACAATATTAGATTCCAAGTCTGACAAGTTTCGGATCATTAAGTTCAGCCCCACTGTTACCTGGATGAAGGGACTGGGTTATAGGTAGTGTAAGCTCCCCTCTCCCCCATAGGCTTAGGGAAGGGTTTAGACCCCTTAATCATGTTCTTCTCGTCAATGGGATCCCCTTGATCATGCTCCTGTCATCAATGGGATCTTAAATCATCATGATCCAGGTGGGCCTGGGCAAGCCCACAGCGTGCCGACTGGGGCTCTAATCACAACTGTACCTTTGGCTGTGACAACACGGATTTAACCACAGACCACCTCGTCCTGGGCTTCCCCAACTTTAGTCTGTATAAAACTTCCTAGAGAATCTTATTAGAATGCAGTTCTCCATCAGTAAGTCTGAGGTGGGAACTGAGATCCTGCATTTCTTTTTTTTTTTTTAGAGAGATTTTTTTGCTACAGACTGTGTGCGCTTTGCCAGAGAGACAGGGGCAGATAGATAGAAAGTGAGAAATCACCCCTCAGGAGGGATGGCCACGCCACAATCCTTTCTCTTCCATCCTCCTCTCAGGATCTTGGGCACGCACACACATGCACACTCAGTCAAGGATTCGAACTGCAGTCGGGAGTGCAGCAATGCAACTATTACACCATCCGCTGGTCCTGAGATCCTCCATTTCTAACCAACTTTGAGAAAATGTGGATAAACCGTCAACAGACCATATTTTTTGAACCAAAGTCTTCTGATAGAAATGCAAGACTCTGGGACCAGCAGATGGCGTAATGGTTATGTCACTGGACTCCCACATTGCTGAACGTAGTTTGAGACCTGGACCCAGAGGCTTAAAACTCATCTGTCTCTCTGGCAAGCACACATGCCCTATATCAAAAATCTCTCTAAAAAAGAAAGAAAAGAAAGAAAGGAAAGACTCTTGGGGCCAGACAGTGGGTGCCACAGTAAAAATGCAAGTCTGTGAGGATGACCCATAGAAGAGTGTGTTTGCATCCAGACACCTCCCTGGGCGTGCTGGGTACAAAAGTGCCCATGATTCCAGGGCTAATGGGTGGGGTGGTGTCCAGACCCTTTGGGGAGTGCTGCCTCTCTGTCTCTTTCTCTGTTTTTGTCTTCCTTGCTCATAAAAGAAATAAATAAACTTAAAGAAAAAAAAAGAAAGAAAGAAATGCAGCATCGGAGTCCTGTCTTGGCCTACTGAATCAGAATGTACATTTTAACAAGCTCTCCAGGTGATTCATATGCACATTAAAGTTTGAGAAGACTGGCCTGTCTGGACTGCCTTTTATTTACCAATGCATTCAAGATTTGAGCCACCTGAGGCACTAAAAATGTGACCTGCTTTACAAAAATTCCATTCTCAGTTCCTTAACTCTTTGACAATCCAGTCTCGTACCAGGGTAGCCTGCCTGACCTCCAGCCCAGACTTCAGTCATCTAAGCTGCGTACTTTCTCTGCAGACGTGAACAGGAGGCATCTCCCGGACATACACTTTCCTGCCTGTCCCAGGATCTCTGGTAGGTTGACCTACCCCTTACCCAGAGAGCCGGTTCTGTTTGTCCTTTGCAGGCAGGTTCCAAAATTATGTCTCCACCAGCCCAAAGCAGGCTCTTACAATGTCGCATTCCTTCTGCCCCAAAGGCCTGCCTAGCCCACCTGCATCACAACCCCCTGCTGATAGGGTCTCTTCAGGCCTACGAGGAACCTGCAGCTGGCCCCCACAATGAGCAGAGAGGGGCACTCAGGAGTTGCTGGTGACAAATGTATGACTTCTGTCCCACTAGTGCCCTGCTCTGGGGCCCAGGGCCCTCAGTACCTGTAGGGCATAGGAGACCGAAAGGCCCACCAGCCCGGGGTTCAGGCTGCTTCTTCCAATCACAGCAAACAGTGCAGCGAAGAACACGACACAGCTGCCCACACACTCTACTTGAATGCTCATCCACCTGGGGGGTCAGACAAGCAGGATGTGGGGTACAGCTGCTTTTCTGCATAGGGGCCGGGAAGGGTGAGGCCTTAGAGTGTCAGAGAGCCTGATGGGAACTCCTGGATGGGCATGGGCGAGGGAGGAGCTGCTGACCGGTTGGAGGCGATATAGGGGTAGACGCTCTTCTGGTTGGTGTCCACCTTGGCATCATTGAGGGTCTCAAAGTCCTGGCTGCGGCAATAGGCACGGATGATGCTGGCGCCGGTCACGGTCTCCGAAAAGTGGGAGTATATGGGTGAGCGGCTGACTGACTCCAGCCTCTTCAGTGGAGCTTGCCACATAGACACGCTGACAGGGCACAGCGAAAGAGCTTGGAGTCAGGTCCGTGAAGCTCCCACCTCAGTTCTGTCCATCTCTGACCCCATTATTGCCCTCCAGCCAGCCCCGCTTCCTCCGTGAGACCTGCTTTTCCTACCTCCAAGGAGGCAAGGCTTAGAAACTTCTGTTTTTGTTTGCTTGTTTGTTGTGTTTCTTATCTTTTTTTTTTTTTTTTGAGACATTTTTGCTATAGGGCGTGGGTGCTTGCCAGAAAGACAGAGAGAGACAGAGAGAAATCACTCCCCAGGGGGGATGGCCACGCCACAATCCCTTCTTCTCCATTCTCCTCTCAGGATTTTGGGCACGCATGCTCACATGCCCGGTGTGAGTTTAAGCCACTGGGTTCAGGACTGAACCACAGTCGACTACATGGGAGTCCGGTGATATAGCCATTACGCCATCTGCTGGTACCACCCCAGTGTGTTTTTCAAGCCATCAGGGCTGAGATCCAAACTGCAGTCAGTCAGGTGGGACCTGGCTCTCTTAACCACCAGGCCATAGGACCAGCCCAAAATTTATGAGGTCTTAAACTTTTTTTTTTTTTAGTTTGCTATGTAAGGGGGCATGTGCACTCACTGGAGTGAGAAAGAGAGAGGGAAAGTGAGAAAGCACCCTCCTAGGGGGGATGACCATGCCTCAATCCCTTCTCCATTCTCCTTTGGGAGAACAGAGAGCACATGTGTCCAGTGAGTTCTTCAAGTCAGTGGGTCCAGGACTCGAACAGCACATTCAGCCATTGGGCTCCAGCTGCCTTAACCTCCACGCCATGTGCTGGACCAGGTTTAGGATCTCAATGTGTGGTTCCATCCTTCCCCTCTGAGCAACTCTGCTCAGCCAGGTCACGTCCTCTGTGAGACCCTTTCTGATTCCCTCTTAGCTCTTGACCTGCTCACCCTCTTTGGGGGCCTTGATTACATGCTGACAGTGCTTGGCCTCCTCCTTCCAGGAATGAGCCTATGTCCACTTAGGGGGCCTAACAATAAGCTCACAGTCAAATTCTTTTGCAAATTTTGCAAAAAATAAGATAGGTTTATATCTTTTTCTTTAGAGAGCCTCTTGCCTCCAGTTGTTTAAGTTTCAGTCCACAAAGGTACAATTCTGCCTCCAGTTTCATCCTCCACCCTGTGGGCCCCAAGATGGCCGGGCCATACAGATGTGCATCTGAGGTTCCCCTGGCCCAGCACAGAGCACTGCACAGACTGTGGCTTCCACTCCCGGGGACTGAGCCTCTATTCGCCTGTGGGTTACCCTCTCAACTAAAGAATCCATTGCAAGACGGGCGCTCACTGCAAAAGCCTTTAGAATGTTATCAACTCATTTAGGTTAAAAACATACAAGAGGCCAGCAGGTGGCATAGCGGTTGGGGCCCTGGACTCCCACATGGCTGACCATGGTTCAAGTCCCAGACCTGGTGGGTTGAAAATCATGCCGGGCACATGCATGTGTGCCCAAAATCCCTAGAGGAGAAGGGACTGTGGCATAGTCATCCCCCAAGGGAGTGATTTTTTTCACTTTCCTCTGTTTTTCTCTCTGGAGAGCACACATACCCTACAGCAAAAACCTTAAAAAAAATGTATATACACACCATATATATATATAATAATTATTTTATTTAACTTTATTTATTTATTTATTTGTTTAAATTTGACCAGAGAGAGACAGAAAGAGAGAGAGGGAAAGTGAAAAAGCAAGCCGCCAGGTTCAAGACTTGAATCACAGTCAGCCATGCGGGAGTTCAGCACCCTCAACCACCATGCCAACTGCCAGCCCCCGATTTATTTTATTTTTAAAAGAATTATTTAATTTTACTTATTTATTATTATTAAAATATATTTTAAAATTTGAACAGAGCGAGAGAGGGAAAGTGAGAAAGTAAGCCACCAGGTTTGAGATTTGAACCACAGTCAACCATATGGGAGTCCAGTGCCTAATCGCCACACTACCTGCTGGCCCCAATGATTTATTTTTAAAATAGCCAACAGGAAGGAGCTCCATGGCCAGTCACAATCTACAAGTCTTTCTTTCTCATTTTTTGGTTCTTGCCATAGGGTGTGTGTGCTTGCCAGAAAGAGAAAGTGAGAAATCACCCCTTACAGGGAATGGCCATGCTGCAATCCCTTCTCCTCTCAGGATTTTTTGGCGCACACACACACACACACACACACACACACACACGCGTGCCTGGCATGATTTCTCTTCCAGGGCTGGAACAGCAGTTAGTCATATGGGAGTCCAGGGCCCTAACCATCATACCACCTGCAGGCTCCCAAGTATTTCATTTTAAAGTCACACCAACACTGAGGTAGGTGCCATGAACCTGTTTCACAGGTGAAGAAAGTGAGTTTCAAAGAGGGGAAGTAACTACTGTACTAGCAAAACGCAACTTCAACGCTGGGGCTGGGATCTCTCTACAACCCACTCCGAGGAGCCTGGCCAAACGGAATGCCCCGCCCACAAGGAGATCCCCACCCACACAGAGAGCCCCGCCCACACGATGCCCCCGCCCACACCGAGAGCCCCGCCCACACTAGACTCTTTCCTGTCCACTCCTACCTGAGCCATGATGTAGAGCACAGCCAGAGGCAGGATGACCACAAAGAAGAGTGGTGTGCTGACCACAATGACCACAAGAGTGGACAAGGCGTTGGAGAAAGAATGGAGCATCATGAGGATGATGGGGGCCAGAACCTCATCAACGGTGTAGACGTCCTTGGAGAAGCGGTTGAGGATGCGGCCTGAGGGCGTGGTGTCGAAGAAGGACTGCGGAGAGCGGATCTTGTTGTGTAGCAGTGCCTCGTGCAGCAAGCGCGCAGCCTGGATGCCGCCGAGGGCCATGGTGATGGCCGACAGCATCACTAGGAGCCCTGTTGGAAGACAGAGAGGGTGGCTGGTTCACCTGGGCTGGGGGGCAGGCCTGGAGTGGGCTAGGGAGGCATGGAGCAGGGCCATGGCTGCTCATGGAGGCAATGGCATGGTTTGGGGGACCTGCCAACCCAGGTTTCCCTTCTGGGCACCTTACCTTGCAGAAGTCCCAAGGCAGCGTAGACTCCCAGCCTTAGGGAGGTGGTGTTCTGTCTGCCCTCCACTTCGGCATCGTTGCTCCAGGCGCTAAGCCATATGTTGGCCCCGATGGCAGTAGCACTCTGGCCCACATACAGTAGACAAGTGGCCAGCGCAGTACAGGACCCCATAGCCTTGGCATAATCCCAGAACACACTCATCTTCACCTGGAGGGAGTGGCCGCAGTGGGACAGAGGACTCTGTGAGTCCTGAGCTGCTGGGGGTCTGTCCATCCTCTCCAGCCCTTCTTTTCTACCCTACTCACAGTGCCGATCGCCACCTCCTCCTCCTGGATCAGCGCCCCACTCGCCTTCGCCTCGGTCACCTTCTTTACTGGACCTGGGCATCTCCGGGACACAGGACGACCCTGGCTGTCCCCTTCTGAGGACACGGCACTCAGCTGTCTGTAGAGGCACTGGTCAGGCCCAGGGAGGGGGTCTCCGACACATACCCGGACAGAGGCCCAGGTGTGAGTGTCAAGGAAAAGGACCGCCTGCACCCAACTGGCTGGGGGGTGGTGGTGTCTCAAGAGCTCACCTCATGAACTTCTGGATCTCATACGACTCTGGCTCATAATCTGCCTGGTCAGTGTGGTTGCTGAGGACGTCTTCCCTCAGCAGCACATCCTCATCTGCATCTCCCCAGGCTGCAGCAGGAGAGAGTTGACAGCAATCAGTAGCTTGCCCTGCAGCCCCTGGTATCCCCCAGGTCCCACTCTAATGAAGGGGTCTGAGTGGACAAGCATGAAAAAAGATGAGAAGAATTAAAAGGACAACAAGAAAGACTTAAGGAATCAGCAGGTGGCATGGAGGTTAAGACACTGGATCCCATATGGCCAACTGCATGGTTTGAGTCCTGGCCCCGACAACTTGAGAATCGTGTTTGTGCCCCAAATCCTGAGAGAATGGAGGAGAAAGGATTGCAGTGTGGCCATTCCCCCTGGGGAGTTATTTTTCTCTGTCTCTCCAACAAGCACATGCATGCTACAGCAAAACTAAAAAAAAAAAAAAAAAAAGAAGACTTAGGTGAGTAGATAATAATAAGAAGACCATCCCCTCAAGACTGTGGAGAAGGGGATTAAAATATAAGGGTTAGGAACTTAGGCTCTGGAGTCAGACTGGCAGAGCTTCCATCCCACTTCCTCCATCATGACCTTGGGCTGGCATGGAAAGGAAAAAATAACAGTACCACCCTCGTTGTATCATTATGAAGATTAAGGGGCTAACATGTGTCAAGTGCTTAGCAGGGGCATAGTAGTTGGGGCATAGTAGTTGGTAAATGCCCACGACCCATTCCTCGTACATACAGTGGTAGACCAGAAAGCCCAGGAGGTCTGCGAGCCAGTATGGAATTTGGAGTTTGAGATCCAAGACTGGGCAATAAGAGGTCAGGGGTATCTTGTGAGCCCAGAGATTCAATAAGCTCCCCAAGGAGCTTGTTTGTTTGCTCCTAGCTGTTTCTTAGTGCTTAGTATGGCATCTAAATATAGTAATTGCTCAGTAAATCTTGATTAATAAGTTATTTTGGGCCAGCAGGTGACATGGTGCTTAAGGTGCTGAACTCCCACGTGCCTGACGACGGTCTGAGTCCTGGACCTGGTGGCTCGCTTTCTCATTTTCCCTTTCTCTCTCTCTGTCTGACTCTCTCTGATCAAATAAAAATAAATAAATAAATAAAATGAAGTAAGTACTAAAATAAACAAACAGAAAAAGAAATGACTTTGTCAAGCACTTGCACATTTGGCGAACAAGTTATCTGTGAAGCAGCTTTGTCATGCAAGTGGGGCCTGGGGTCCTTCCACCCTTTCTGAGTGATGGAAAACTGAGGCTGAGACCTGAGCTGCTGATCCAGGGATCCACAGTTGGGAAAGGAGGAGGTGGGACTTCACTATGTCCAGTTCACTTTCCCTGCCATGTCTGACTATCACACAGCTGGCTCAGGTTTCTCAGAACGTCCCTGGTACGACACGACCGAGCCAGAGACATGCAGACACTCCAGGCAGGGGAGGTGCTAGGAGGGCCAGGGACAATGGGTACCGGTCCTGCTGTCCTCCTCCAGGTGCTCCTGGCCCTCATCGGGTGCATAGTTGTGGAGGAAGTTGGCAAAGGAGTCGTTGCGCTGCAGCAGGGTTTGGTAGGAGCCCACCTCTGACACCTGCCCATCGGCTAACACTATGATGAAGTCCATCTGGGGCAGAAAGCTGACGCCATGAGTCACCAGCACCCGAGTCTGGGGAGAAGACAGCAGGCTGTCACTCCCCACTGCCCTTGGCACACACACCCTGGCACAGGCACGAAGCTACATGTGAGGTGCCCATACATGAAGTGCCTGAACAGGTACATGGACAACTCACCCGGGCTTGCTGCAGCCTGCTTAGGGCTTTGGGAGGATGTGTCCTCATAAGTACCCCTGCTCCTGCTTCTCAGGCCCCACACCCCGGAACACCCTACTACTGAGCATCCCACATGCTAACCCCTTCACCTCCTGCAGGCCTCACCTTGCCTGCCAGCACACCTTCTGGCCCAATGACTCGGTCGAAGATATGCTTGGCCACATGGGAGTCCACGGCCGACAGAGGGTCATCCAGCAAGAAAATGTCAGCGTCGCTGTAAACAGCTCGGGCCAGACTGACCCGCTGCCGCTGGCCCCCAGACAGGTTAATGCCCTGGAGGGAGGAGGGGACAGGAGGTGGGTTCTGGATGCAAAGGGAGCAGACAGGCCTGGGGGCACAAGGCTCCGTCCACAGTCATTTGGCAAGGCAGACCTTGAAACCCACTTTTCACACAACGCCCGGACAGAAGCCATAAGGCCACAGAGGAAAGGGCAGTGGCTCTCAAAGTCCTCCCATGCTTCACCACCCAACCAACTCAAATGTCCATTGGCAGGTGAGTGGATCAATAAGGTGCAGTATAATCCACCCAATGGTCGGGATGCATGCAAGTGAATGAGCATGGATGAACCTTGAGGACACGAGGCCAACTGAAACAAGTTAATCCTGACAGGACCATGTAGGTGTCCACTCATGTGAGACACCTAGAGTACACAACTGTGCAGAAACAGAAATCATGCTGCCAGTGTCCGGGAAAATGAGTAACGGGAGTTATTGTTTAATGGGTCAAGTCTGGCAAGTTCTGGAGATGGCCCCACTGAGGTGTGCATGGGCTTCACCCTGCCAAGCTGCACATTGGAAAAGGCTTAAGATGGTATGTTTTCCGTGGTGTGTATTTTACCATGCTTAAAAGCAAACACATTAATTAAAAAGCAAGACCTTCAGGACTAGCAGTTGCTGTAATGGCTATGTCGCTGGAACTCCCATGTAGTTGATCACGGTTCGAGTCCCGGACCTAGTGGCTTAACCTCACACCAGGCGCATGTGCGTGTGTGCCCAAGATCCCGAGAGGAGAATGGAGGAGAGGGGATTGTGGAGTGGCCATCCCCCTGTGGGGTGAGTTCTTGTTTTCTGTCTCTTTCTCTCTCTTTCTGGAGAACACACGCACCCTATAGCAAAAACCTCTCCAAAAAAAAAAAAAAAAACCAAGACCTTCAAACTTTTACCAGTGTCCCAGGGTTTTTGGAGTAAAGGCCAAAATTTTAACCAAAGTCTTCAGGGCTCTGCCTCACCTTACACTCTCCCTCACCTTCTAGCTTCCAGTCACACTGCAATGCATTGAAATGCTGGGCTATGTGAGCCCTTTGCTCCTTGTCTCATACCCTCTGATGGCCTACCGTCCCTCTGAGTATAAGCCATATTTCCCCTGGAAAGACTGTGAATGACCTAGCTGCCCTGTCACCTCCCTGGCCTCACCTCCTCTTGACCCCGGCTCACAACACTCAGCCATACATCCTTGCTCTCCCTGCCTCTGATGTCCTGCTCCCGGGCAGGGCTCTGTGACCCCAGGCAGGACTGTGACTCCGACAGGACTCCTAGCCCAGGCACGGCTCACTTCCTGTTTTCGTTCGGGTGTCCATTTCTCAGTGAGATTCTCCCAGATAATTCAGCCTCGCACATATTCCTATGTGCCTTCCTTGCTTAGTTTTTTCCTCTTTGCATTTATCTAATAGTATATGTTGCTCACGTGTCATGCCGTGGTCACTTTCACCCACTAGAACGTAACCTACACGAGGTGGAGCATTTAGCCCGTTGCCTGGGTATAACGGGCTGAATAAACATCTGACAAATGAATGAGGCGCTGAAGGAGGAGCCCTGCTTCTTCCTCAGTTGTGAAGAGTCAGCTCAAAAGAGATGCCTCTTCTGCAGACTCGCCCTGCGGCACCCTCCCTTGCTCCGCACAGGCTTCAGCACGGCCCCTAGGCACCCCGCAGCTCCACAGGTTGGCCTCCCTTGGTTACGGGTCTGTTTCCCACAGTCCTGGGCCCAGAGCTGGGTGTGATGCTCGTGGAAGGGGGAATGAATGAGTGAATGAATGAATGAATGGCCCTGTGCTGTGCTGCAGCAGGCAGGGGTGTGGGCTGGCTCCTCCAGGCTGGGAGGGGAACTGCACCTTCTCTCCAATCTCCGTCTGGTCACCACCAGGCAGCATCTCCAAGTCAGGTAGCAAGGCACAGGCCTCCAGAGCCCGCTGGTAGCGCTTGCAGTCCAGGGGGCGGCCAAACAGCACGTTTTCCTGAAGCGTGCAGTTCTGGATCCATGCCTGCTGGGGCATGTAGGCCACAGAGCCCTGGCCACAGAGAAGTTCCCCTCAGCCTTTGCTCAAGGCCTGACCAAACCCCTTGCCCTTCCCAGGAGCCCCTTCCCCTCTCACCTTCATATACACCTTGCCTTCCAGCTTCTCCATCTCTCCCAGCAAGGCAGACACCAGGGAGGACTTCCCACAGCCCACGGGCCCCACCACAGCCACCAAGGCCCCTTTCGGGATCTGCATATCTAGGCTGGGGACAAGGGGCTCAGGAGTTCAGTTGAGGCAGGGATAAGGTTTGGTCCCCATCCTTCTATCCGTCCTCCCTTCCAGACCCCTGCCCTAGCAAGCTGAAGCTGTATTCCAGGTCAGTGACCCTGGGGGTAAGGTGGGGGTGGGAGCTGCTATAGACCTGTCGTTTGGCCTACTCTGGGCACTGAAGGGGGAGAAGAAGCTGGTACCTGTGCAGGGTCGGGGGTAGGTCCTGGGCCCAGGTGAAGGTGCCGTGGTGTATGACGATGGCGTAGCCTGGGAAGACCAAAGGGTGCAAGGTCAGGGGCCCCAGAGGATGGAAGCAGCAGGGAGGCCAGGAAAAGAGACAGGGGCAGGATGCCTGGGCAAGGAGGGAGAGTAGGGGGAGAGCTGTAGGAGCCTTGGGGAAGGGCAAAGGGGAGCAGAGAACTCAGAAGAAGGAGAAGGGGGCCACCATGTTAAAGCAGATGTGAAAAGAGAAGCCGGAAAAGGGGTCACCAGAGAGAATGAGCAAGCCTGGAGCAGATGATTTTCTGGGCAAGCCCTGGGGAGAGGGCTGTCCGGGTAGATCTCTGGACCTGGGGAGATGGTCTTTCTTTCCACACACTGGGGGTCCAGTTCATCTTGGCTCAGGAAATTCTGGATCCGTTTCAGAGACACGCTGGCCTGCAGGGGGCAGGAGTCCGTCCTGAGGCCTGAGCTTTTCCCAGCCTGCCCCACCTACCCTTGCTTGGTGCCCTTTCCCATGGAGGGTAGTCTCTCTGCCCGGAGGTAAGGTCTAGCTTGGTAAGAGGAGATTGTCTCCAGAATTCAGGTGTCCAGGGACCCCACCTGACCTGTCACTCCAACTGGCCTAATGACCTCAATAGACCTTTTTTTGGTTGTTGTTGAGATTTTTGCTATAGGGAACGTATGCTTGCTGGAGAAACAGAGAGATGGAAAGCAAGAAATCACCTCCCAGGGGGATGGCCACACCGAAATCCCTTCTCCTCTCGGGATTTTGGGCATGCGTGCACACACATGTGCCTGGCATGCGTTTCAAGCCACCAGGTCTGGGGCTTCAACCATAGTCACCTTTCCCATGGAGGGTAGTCTCTCTGCCCGGAGGTAAGGTCTAGCTTGGTAAGAGGAGATTGTCTCCAGAATTCAGGTGTCCAGGGACCCCACCTGACCTGTCACTCCAACTGGCCTAATGACCTCAATAGACCTTTTTTTGGTTGTTGTTGAGATTTTTGCTATAGGGAACGTATGCTTGCTGGAGAAACAGAGAGATGGAAAGCAAGAAATCACCTCCCAGGGGGATGGCCACACCGAAATCCCTTCTCCTCTCGGGATTTTGGGCATGCGTGCACACACATGTGCCTGGCATGCGTTTCAAGCCACCAGGTCTGGGGCTTCAACCATAGTCAGCCATGTGGGAGTCCAGCTCCTTAACCACTCACACACACCACCTGTTGGCCCTGACCTCATTCAATGTTCAATAACTCTTCCAAATGCCAAATAGCCCGGCCCCTGATTCTAGTAAGTGTTCCTGATTATCCCCAGACCTCACTGACCCTTCCTCGACCCCACCATCCCTTACTCCAGTGGAACCCCCTGCCCTATCCGAGGTTACCTGGGCCAGGTTGCCGAATAGCTGGGGCAGCATGGCTAGGGGAAACTTCAAGATATTGAACAAGGACACAGAGACAAAGGCCTTCTCGGCGTCCAGCACGTTGTTCTGGTCCGCGCACACATACACCCCGAGGGTGAGCAGGGTCACCTAGGCAGCAGGAGGGAGGGTCGGGTGGAGTCTGTGGTCCTGGCCATCCCCGGGCACCTGGGGCAGGGCTAGCCAGGTGACACACAGAGCCCTGGCCTGGCAGAGCGCCTCACCAGGAAGGGGGAGCAGATGAAGATGAAGGTGGAGAAGGTGTGGAGGTAGGCGGTCTTCCTCAGCAGCTGGAGCTCGCACTTCCGGAAGCCCTCCACCTGCTCCACGAAGCTGGGCTCCCAGGCATACAGCTTCAGCACCTTGATGCCGCTCAGAATCTCGCTCATCAGCTTGGTGCGCGAGTCCTTGAGCTTCATTTGCTCCATCTGCTCGGCAGAGAGTGGCAGTGGCATCCCTGCTCCCCTCCCCAGACCTGCTGCCCACTGGGGCACGTACCTTCCCACACCCTTGCCCCCTGCGGCCAGTCCACACTGCTCGCCACTCTGCTCGCGCCTCCCTGTGGGGCTCATGCTGTTCCTTGGCCTGGGTGCCCGACCGCTCCTCTTTGGTCTCCTCCGCCTGATGAAATGCAGCTCCACCTCAGCGCCTGGTCTGCAGCCCTCCCAGGCAGCACCCTTGGCCCCTTCCCTGGGTTTCTAAGGCATGTTGCACCCTGCTTTCCGTGGCCATCCCTCTACACGTAGGTTTCTCCAATTACCATGAGCTTCCCGAGGACGTGGGTTATTATTGTTATATTTTTATTCACCAGAGAATGTGTGTGTTCACCAGAGACACACAGAGAGGAGGGGAATAAAGTACCCACCATGGGGTGTGTCGTGCCACATCCCTTCATTTCTCCATCCTGCTGGATTCGGGGCACATACACACACATGCTTCTGGTGTGTTCTTCAAGCTGCTGGACCCAGGATTGGAACATGGGCAGCCATGTGGGACCCAGCTGCCCTAACCACCAGGCCATGCAGCCAGCTCAGAAGTGGATTACTTACTGCTCTTTGTTCCCCCAGACCATAACCCCAAGTGTGTCCCACCAAATGAATGTGTTCAGTTACCCTCTGTATGCCAGGCCCTGTGCTAGACACGCAGGCTATCATGGCGAACAATTCAGGCAGAGCACCCACCTGACGCAGCACGCAGTCTGATGGGGGAGGCGATAATTAGCAAACAATCACCCGAATGAATGTTTCAATATAAGTCATTACACCTGCTGTGAAGGGACATAACGCGATGGGGTGAAGCAAGGACACTAACTGAGGGTGAGCAGAGTGGGCCTCTGGAGGAAGTGACATTTATGCTGAGAGGTGAAGGAAGGGAAGGAGGCGGCCAGGCAAAGGGGGTGAGGAGCATTCCAGGCAGAGGGACAAGCATGTTGGTGGCCCAGAGGTATGCAGAGCCTCCTTTCTCTGGAGAAAAGAAGGCTGGTCTGGCTGAAATCTGGCCTCCCTCAGCATGTGGGGGTTCATGGGTTACCAGGAGTCTGGTGAGTGGTCGTGGGAGTCTGTCCTTTATTCTACGTGCAGTGGGGAGCTACTGAAGACTCCAATACATGTTTGCAGCCAACGGCCTGAATGACTGGCTATTTCCACTTAGCATAGCGTAGTGGGAAAAGTTCTTGTTCAACTGGAAGACCGAGGTTTGAGTCCCAGCTCTCCCCAATTCTGGGTTTTCTCTGGGTTTTCATTCCTCAATTGCAAAATGAGAATGTTACTAAAACCCTCTCAGGACTGTGAGGGTTGAGGGAGCCAAGGTTTGTGGCCAATCCCACTCAGTAAGAAGGCAGCTGAGAGGCCTCCCAGTTAGTGAACACCCTCCTCAGGCACCCAGCCGGGTGCTCTAGGTGAAGCACACCCTCCAATAACACCTACTTGGAGAGCACGCATCTTCACGGCCACAGCTCCGTTGAGTGGGATCAGCAGGACCAGAAAACTGACTCCAGCCAGGATGGAGGGACCTAGGATCTGAGGAGGCCCAGGGTAGGTGGGTGGGGGAACAGATATGACAGATGGACTGACAACCAAAGGCTATACAGACAGAACCCAATGGACATGCAGAAGCTGCTGATCCGGAACATGGCGGGGGTCGGGGCGGGGGGCCAGG